TAGGCAACGCTGAAGCTGATGCTTCACTTATTAGAGACCCATTGATTCAATGCGTGACTCACTGATTTTATTTCGGCTCCTTGTGCTGTGGGATGTTGAACAGCGCTGCTGACGCGCATTTATGGGAAAATACACGTGAAGAGAACGTTAAAATGATGATGCAACAAATATTTCGCTTCCCTTTGATACGACAAGCTTTTCACGACTTCAAAGACAGAGGTAATTGCACGCGCTCTGCCGATCTCTCTCATTCACTATCTGTGTGAAGCCTATACACATCACCATGATAAACAGTCTTGTTATCATTATGAACTGGTTTAACATTCAATACACATGCATTACGTTCAAAACAAGAAGGGTATAGCCTTATTAAAAAAAAATTGAATATCGCGGTTGCTGCGGTTACGTGCAATCCTGCGGTCTTGTCAGAAGCGCGGTATAGCTACTACAATATTGCGGTTACCGCGACAGCCCTAATTAACATATATTAATAATCATGAAAAATATTTTGAATTGAACTCGAGTGGACTCGGGAATAAGTCCGAGTCCTAAAAAAAAAAATGTTCGAGGCCGAGTCAATTCCGAGTCCAAATGCACACGAGTCCATGACAAGACCAAGACCATTAAAATATGGTCTCGAGACCGAGTCCGAGACGAGTCCGAGTCTCGAGTACTTCAACACTGCCTCAGACGTCACGCTCAAGGAACGTTGGCTAAACATCTGATGCATATGGTAAACTTAACTGGAAACACTTCAAGAATGTCGAAGTCATCATCTGATTGGTTGAATTTTATCGGATTTCCGGGGGGCGTCAGTGTCGTGTTTATTTTCGGTCCGCCGGGAAACAAAGCGCAGACGTGTGATTGCGGAGAAAAACTGTTGTGTTTATATGAGTGACAATGAGCATTTATCAAGATCAGCTAAATGTAGTTGTCCCCTCCTATCTATTATGGAAGAAGTGAAGTACTTAATTGCGAAGGGGATATCAGCCGCGTTTGTGGGCAAACATGAAACAACAGACGCTGACATCGCAGCTGGCCGATTCAGTATTCACATATAGGGCGCACACTGGATTATAAAGCGCATAAGAAACGTGACGCTGAACGAAACGAACTGTAATTGGTTGTTTGACATGTCGGTCAAACGGCCTTATGGGCGGGCCTTGGCCAAAGAAAGCTGCTATGAATTCCAGACCTTCAGCCGTCAGTCTGAAGGTCTGGCTACGCGAGACTATCTCTGAGGGAAACCAGTTAGCGCTCTTTGATAACGTGAAGATTACGTTCCCTGCAGATCATCTGTCCATCATCGTATAAAGCCCGCCCTGGCAATTTAATTGGCCCGTTCATTTTTTGCCTGATCATAATTACTCCTCAATGGATCGAGTCCAGACCGAACTTCCCGACCAAAAAATATTGTGGGCGGAGTTCGGGCTGGCATCCAGGCTAGTAAAAGCCCAAAGAAGATTTAATCTATGGTTGCAGAGAGACTTGACCTTGAGAGGCAGAGCACTGCTTGCTAAGGCGGAGGGCATTTCCAGGTTAACATACCCTGCACTCTCTCTAAATGTGGACAACAAAATGTGTAGGTCAGTTGATAAAATTCTCTTCAATTTAATTTGGAAGAACAAAATACTTTATGTTAAGAAGTCAGTAATCATGAATGCGTATGATAAAGGCAGTTTAAATTTTTTGGATTTCTCATGTCTGAACAACACTTTTAAAATTAACTGGCTTAGACAGTTTTTATGTAATCCAAATTCAATCTGGAACTTTATCCCTAATTACTATTTTTCGAAATTAGGTGGTCTCCCTTTCTTATTGGTCTACAATTATAATATTGCTAGAGTCCCTTACAACTTATCAAAGTTCCATAAGCAAGCATTACTCGCATGGTCTTTTATCTTTAAACACAATTTTTCCCCTCACAGTAACTTCATTTGGAACAATCAAAATATTGTATATAAGAAGAAATCTTTGTTTTTTAGTAATTGGTTTGAGAAAAATGTGTTGACTGTCCCCTTTCGTAGTCACTTCGAGTTATGTCAGAAGTGACGGAGAATGGGGGTTTCGCCTAGAAAGCCAATCCTCTTCGAGTATTAAAAAACGAGCCAATGGCAAAGAAATGCCATGGGTCTGCGGAATTTGCATAGCGTATGTCTGCCTCACGAGTATAAAAGGAGGAAGCGGACGCCACCGCACTATGTTTTCGCTTCGGAGCCAAGAGAACTTCTTCACTCCACAAGCCACACAATCTGAGTTTACTATTGTGACTCACCTCTTCGAAACGAGCGAACTCTCTGGTGTTGGTGTGACGGCGGTACCCAGCGAGTTTCACATTGCCTGCGATCTGAGCAGTGGTCTGCCAGCGTGTGTGTCTCTCCCTGGTCGCTTCAACATCCGCGGAGTTTTCTCCTCTCACTGAAAGAGTGTGCACGCTGCACGTCTTTTTAAAGACGATTTGCCCGTGTATTCCTGAGTGCGGTATTCTGATAGTCAGCTGATGGGCGTGAGCGCTGTTTGACGTGTTTGGGCTTTGATCACGCTCAGACAGCGCTCGTGGGTGTGTCACGTTCTCTCAGTGGGGACGTGATCATCGCAATGTACGGTTGAGACTCCGTGAGCTCAATAGAGTGAGAGTCCCCTCATCCACTACCCAAACTATTTTCTCCACGTGAGCTAATACTTCGGCTAGTGGCCAGGGTGACCAAAAGACGTCAGTTCTGGAACTAACCGACGAAAATTCCTCGGTCCACACCCCGTCTTTCACGTTGCAACCCACGTGGTCCAGAGTGAGTGGGCGGGGCCCGCCCGCGGGCCCGCTGTCTCATTCGGTCCCCCAGCTGATGAAATCATGTTTATCGCCGCATCACAAGGTGAGCTGGAGTCCTCTGGAGATGGCTCGTCTGTGGCAAGCCATCTGCCACCACTGGAGTTAAGTTTCTGCCACCTGCGGGTTGGTGCTCCAGTGATCTCCAAATGTAGTTCCTAATACGGCCATATGTGTATTTGTAAGTCCTCCTTCATTAGGCATCTGGTAGCATGTCCCTCCCAGGATATGGTTCCCAGTGTACCTTGGTATTCCTGTGTCAAAGTAGGATCCCTGGTTATAAGCTATTTCAGGGGTCCAGACTTTAGCAGGGCACTGGAAGACGGCTATGAAGATAGCTTGATGGCACAGACCCCCATCCGTCACTTCTGACGTAACTCGAAGTGACTACGAAAGGGAACGTCTCGGTTACGGATGTAACCCTCGTTCCCTGAGTAGGGAACGGAGACGTTACGTCTCCCTGCCACTTCCGCTGTACCGCTGGGTAGACGCCTGAGTTCAGTCTCGGCTCCTCAGCGAAGACATACTGCGGTGGCGTCCGCTTCCTCCTTTTATACTCACGGGGTGAGGCGGAGATACGCTATGCAAATTCCGCAGACCCATGGCATTTCTTTGCCATTGGCTCGTTTTTTAATACTCGAAGAGGATTGGCTTTCTAGGCGAAACCCCCATTCTCCGTCACTTCTGGCGTAACGTCTCCGTTCCCTACTCAGGGAACGAGGGTTACATCCGTAACCGAGACGTTTCCCAGTTACTGAATTCTGAAGGATTTATTTTAAATTATGAAGAGTTTTTATGTAAATTCAATTTCCCAGTAATTCCCAAGGAATTTTCCATTGTAATGGACGTGATTCCTAACGGAGTAGTTATGCTTCTAAATGACTCTGATAGATTATCTGACACTTTTCCTCAGTTAGACCCATTTGAACACCCAATAGAAAAATTATGTTTTCTGTCAAATAAATCATCACTTAATATTAGAATTAGATCACTCTTTCAAAAAGAGCTTGTAACAATTCCATATGGCTTCATATTGGATGAATTTATTTGATTATTGATTGGAAAAAAGTATGGACTCTGCCTTTGAAATATATAATAACTAACAAGATTAGAGAAATTTCATTTAAATTATTACACAAGTGTTACCCTGCTAAAGCTTTTTTGAAAAGATTTAAGTCAGATCTAGACACTAAGTTTTCTTTTTGTGGCGCACCTGATGAGACTGCTCTCATATTCTGGGACTGTCCTCACACAGTTATTTTTGGGTTGAATTTTTTAATTTTATTAAACACAATGTGCTTCCGGGTTTTTCCTTGCTCTTTAATGATGTACTGTTTGGCTTCTTTAATATAGAAAAAGCTCAATTTAATGAGTAGTATTAATTTGTTGTTATTCCTTACAAAATTTCACATTCACCGTAGTAAATTTACGCAGCAGAATCCCTTACTCATTGTTTGGTTCAGCAATACATCCAAAGTATCTCATCATCCACGAATCTTAAAGCTCTTAAGACCATAAACTTGTTTGAACTTTTTAATTTAATTTAGTATTAGTGCATTCTGTTCTGTTTTTTTTTATTATTTTTTTTATGTAGGCTATAGTATGTGTATACAGGCTCTGCATATGTGCTGTATTGTTTTCATTATTTCTCCTATGTGCAATTTGTATATTGTTGTAATCTAATTGTATTTTTGATACCTTGGCATTAATAAAAAAAAAAAGACCGGAAAAACGGAAGTTCAAAGACAATATTCTAAAGATGACGCCGCCCACGTTTCTCTGGTGCATAAATACATCTGTGAGAAGTATAGTGCTGTGATAAAGGATACACTTGTTTTGATGAAATGTTAAAGGAAAAAAAATATTTAAATGAAACTTATAAATAGCCAATCTTATCTGAAAGGTGAAATTTCTCATGTCAAAATGACTCGAGCTACAACGTGTCCTCCTCCCCCCAAAATAGCATCCAGTAACCAAGGCGTGGTGATGTCTACGTTGTCTACATGTGCTACAAACCACAGGGAAAATACGTACACTCAAGCTGTCAGTCAAACAGTGCTCCGCCTTCTCTAACGTTCGATTGGACATTACCTCAAGCGTGCTGAAAATGATTGGTCAACACCGCTGCCTGTCAGTTTTCAAGGGTTTCTCTGCTTCCTTGCCGCTGAGCGAATCGATGTTTTGAAGGGGAAATGGGTTCAGATTTCTTGATTGGTACGAAAGAGGGAAGTAAATAATTTAAATGTCTCTGGTTTCTGGCAATTTACATTTGGCGACCATCGCCCAGCGTTTATACCGCATCCTTGAAAATGTTCGACTGGATAAACCGCCTGGATTCGTAAGACTTTAAGTTTGAATCTTGTCCCCTCCTGTCTTTGTTAACGTGCAGTAGTCGCACAGGGGACGTCCGTAATAAAGTAGAGAGTAAATGACAGTCCCGTTGACATGAATCGCTTAACATTTTAATGACAAGGCTGTTTACTAGTTTAGTCTATTGTTCTGGTACATTTCTGTTTGCCAAGCGATGGAAAGCAGAGGGTCACAGTCTGGTTTGTGCGAACAAAGGATATGTTAACTTGACCAAAACAGATCAATGTGTATGTTATCGATAGCGCGTTTTCCAAAAGCGGAAATTCTGGACTTGAAATCTAGAAGTGGCCATTAATGTGGCTAGAGTTATATTAGTCATATACGGAAGAAGATGGCATCAACTAAAGGCAAAGCTGGAATAAATAATGAAAGCAGTTCTGGTCGGGATAGTGGCAGGACAGACGCAGGCAGTCCCACGATATCCGCAGGGGCCGCATCCCTCACCACCAACAGGACCTACACACTTGATGACCTGGACACCATTGCCACTGTTGGTAAGTTGGTTTTCTGGATCAGAATAAACACGTTTTAGTCAACTCGTAATGTACTCCAAAATGTTTTCATATTCTCTAAAATGTGTTCACCCATGTTTGTCCGACAAGTGATTTATTGGTTTAGCCTTTCAATGTTTTGCTTCTTATCCAAGCTTACCACTTTACAAAGAGACAAACCAGAGCGTTGTAGCAGTTATATTAACTTACCCTGGGAATTCCAATGGGAATGCATGAACTAATGGGTTGTCAAGTACACCTGCATCCTTTATAGAGCAAGACCTAAATATTGTTTAAAAAAATAAATATACATACACTTGTTACCTATATATTTTTAAGCTGATTTTATATTTACTAAAACTAACATTCGACTGGTTTTAACTGACATTTTGAAAGCGAGGCTCAGGTGGGAAATCCCTGAAGTAAAGACCATCATTTTCATGAGGGTGAAGAAACTGCTCAAGTAAAACTATGAAATGCATCAGGAGGAGTACAACGCCTCCATTTATATTTTAAAGGGTGGATGCCATTAACCTTTCACGAATGAACAACACCAGGAAGTTTTTTTTTTTTTTAAATAATAATAATAATGTTTTCAAAGTTGCATCAGCTGAAGGCTAGTTGCACCCATTTAAATGTCTGATAACATTTTTGGAAGTAAATCTTAATTTGCCATGATTCTTTTTTTTTTTTTTTTTTTTTTTAAGATAGTAGTTCAATGCTGTGAATATTAAAAATGAATAACACTTTTATTCTGCAAGGGTGCAAATAAATTGATTAATGACCTAAAATGCTGTCCTTTTAAAATTCTCTTCATCAAAATAGCCAAACAAAATCATATTTTTCACAAAAATATTAAGCAGCACAACTGTTTTCAACACAATAAAATTATTAAATGTTTCTTGAACACCAAATACACGATTTCTGAAGGATCACGAAACACTGAAGACAGGACTCCGAAGCACTGCTGAAAATTCCGGTTTGTCAGCCCATCACAGGAATAAATTACATTTTAAATGACATTAGAAAACATTTAACTTAGCAATTATTTTATTTGTAATATAGGTAATATTCTACAATACTACTTTTGTTACTCTATTTTTGATCAAATAAATGCAGCCTTGGTGAGAGACTTAAAAATCTTATGGACGCAAAACTTTTGAATGCTATATATATTGCAAACAGTCATTCACTGATCTCATTTCCCCATCCTTATTTTTATTCCAAAGTGGCCGATTACACTACATGACATAAACTGAAAGTCCATCCACTCAGCAGCGAGACATTTTTAGCCTGCATATTTATTTATATTTCACATACATCAGTGCAATGCTAATTATAAAATTAGTTTGTAATTTTCTACTACTAATTTGGAGTTTATGGTAATGCTTTTCTTGCTTTTAACCCAATAAGAATACGTAATACCTTTTTTTGTTCTTCCTCTCACTTCTGCCCCTGAAGACCTCACTATCTTAGTTCACTCACACCTCTAACACGTTTTAATTAGTTTCATTACACACCTTCTCTTCTACTCGCACATTTGGAAGGGAAAAGTAATTTAAAAATGTACTGCGCACAAAAATGGAACAAGGCCTGTCTGACAAGGAGTAAATATCATGTGACCAAATTGTATCTGTTGAAAGGAGGCTCAGTTTCTAAACAAGCCCTCCTATTTATATTGAAATGCATAGCAAGAACATGTTACCTCCTATCTGAGCACCACAAACTTTCTCTTTCTCATTAGTGCCATGTGAGTTCAGGCAGAAACTGGCAGGATTATTACTCAATTATAGAACAGACATCATAAGAGAACATTCTAGTCTAACTCCACCAGTGATGTTTAGCCATATAGGTGAGTAACAGTGCTTGAATAATAATTAATTAATTATCGAGTTATGGTCATTGGCATAGTGGCTATTTGTCCTGCCGCTCTTTTTAAGGCCTGATGTTTTAGTTATTAGTAGTTGTGGTCACGATATCTATCTTTTTTACCTGGCAATGTGAAACTGAAAGGACAACTCCTTGTTTAAGGGCCTCAGGGCGAGGAGGAGAACAGTTCACATTTAGAAAATAACCAGGTCAGGTCAGAATTTGTACACAAGTATGTTGCACGTTTCAGCAGGTTTTGTTATTTTCACACATTAAATGCCTCAAATCCATGTTCAATAGAAGTTGTCTGATGATGCATCAATAAAAGTAAAAAAAAAATAAAATAAAAATTGCAACCAATTTTTACAAGAACTCTCTTGCACGTGCCCGAACACAAGAACAAGCACCACCGGCCACACTTTCAACACACCATAGAAAGCATCACACAACATGCTGGAAACTCATGACTCCCACGGCTACTTTTATCAGCTTGATGTTGAACTAATGCTCCATGCTCGTACCATGATAACGTTACATTTGTGGTGGTATCTAGCATAAGGCATTTCACTAACTATTCGTTTATCTTTCGCAATCAGCAATGTCAACATAGGTGAATGTATAATATGATAACGAAAACGGTTAGTGAACTAGACTGAACAATTTCAGTGTAACAGTAAGATCGTAGGAAGTAACATCACTGCACTGAACGTGTCTGGAAATGTATATTTTAAACAATATGATAGTAGTGGGATGAGTGACATTGGACAGTAGATCTAGTACATAAAATAAGTTGCATCCTAAAGCACCTACTTTTTGTTATCCTGGAACAGTCTTTTGTATTTATTTAATTGTCGTATATGTCGTAGTTTGCTATTTCATTACAGTTTACCATTATTTCAACATATCTCAAAACTTAATCACAATAAAAATAGCGGAGGTCTCTTCATAATTCCAACGCTCTGTGCCGACGTTGATCTGTGTTTTTCGTCATAAGTTGATCTGATTCTCGTTTGGCCTGACAAGCTTCAACAGATACATTTTTGTTTTGTTTTGTTTGTGTTGTTCAAGGGCCCGTTTCAATAAGGAGGTTCAACCAAGCTTGAACTCTTTGAGTTGACTTACCCTGAGATGGGAAACTCTGAGTTTTCGGTTACAGAACAGCTGAAAGGAGTTGGTTCAATCAACTCTGAGTTGACTGACTCTGAGTTAAGCGCGTGCACCACAACTATAAAAAGCCATTATCAATGGAGCGCACCATGGCAACAGCGCCAGACAAAAATAGGTGTTGGGTGTAATTAATTTCCAAGTAATCTAAATATTGTAATTTAATTAAAGGGATTACTCTTAATTCTTCTGTAATTTAAAATAGAATATGATGCAATTACATTAAATAGGCTACTGCATAAACTATAGACCAATTCAGTATAAAACAATAGTGGATTTAACATACATTTTTAAAAGGTATATTTTTTATGTAACCTTCTCCCTCTACACACTTTGATCAATTCAAGAATAATTCATGCAATTGTATATTGTTAATTTGAAAGCATTAAAAGTGCAGTTTCTTGTCTCTCCTCCTTGTATTAATCAAGTGGTTGAGGTTGATATAGGATTTAGTAATATGTAGACCAACATTTTCTAGAGATGGTAATTATTACATTAATCTAACTACACCGTTGAAGATGTCATTTGTTGTTAATAATTCATAACTATTTTAGAGTAACTTACTGTATAATATCAGAGGTGAAACTGGAAGAATGTTATTAGTAAGTAGGCTAGTATTACTTTGATAAATTTTTGCTTAAGTAAAAGTAAAAATACGAGTCTAAAAATCTACTCAAGTAAAAAGTAGTTAATTTAAAACATGAGTAAAAGTTGCTGAGTAACTTGTTTAACAGCGGGGGTGGGGGACTCCCCCATGTAGGAAGATTTTCACAGTATGAAAACCGTCTCAGAAAATATCACGGTTAAAGGAGAACTCCGGCGCAAAATGAACCTTTGGTCTAATTACACATTGTTAGTCAACCGTTATCTGTTGAAAACTGTAGGCTTAGCTGTAGTAACTAATAGTACTGACAGTCACTCGCGATTGAGCGGTGAATGCGAATGTGCTCGGGGAGTGTGTGTGGAGAGGGGGAGATCAGACTCTGTGCTTCATCAAATAGGGGGGTGTCCAGCAGCTCATGGGCTCCAGTGCGTCATCGAGCCCTGTTTTAGCCCCGCCTAATTAATCCGTAAAATTGCAATGGTGAAAAACTGTTTAACGGTCTAACTCCACATTTCAGTACTTCACAGTTCACAGTCTTTGTAATATGTTTTAGCAATACATATGTAACATTTATAATGTGTTTAGAACTTTTTTGTAGAATTGCCTTTACAGGGACTTTAATTTCCCGGTTCAGAACGTCTGCATTTGTTAGTTTCAGCAGTGTATAGTGTAAATGTAAAAATTGGATATGGGTCACTTTTAAAAGATGATGTAAGCAGGTCGTCAAAAAAATCAGATATAGTCAGAAAATCGGATCGGAGCATCAAGACCTGCAGTGTAAATGCAGCCTTATTGTTTTTCTCAATATAAATGTGAAACAATTTAAACACGATAATCATATGCTGCCTCGAGTGTTTGTGTACGTCCTCTACGATATCTGGCGCAATCTGCTTTATTAGGCTTTTTTTTCTGTTCACGCTGCTTGAGCATGCTTTTATTAATGCTTTTGTTTTTTTTATTTATTGTTTACACATAGGCCAACTGTTTAATGTTTTCGACAACTGTGTAATTTTTTCAAAACACTGCTATTTAAAACACACGTCAATAACGTGTGATATAAATAGCAGCGTTTTGATGCAAAAGCCGCACGTTTCTGATGCGGTTTACCGTGACCACAAAGCACAACACAAAGCATACATATGGTAAATCTTGCATCAGGTGCACCTGTTTTTGCTGTCGAAAAGCACGCTTTTGATTGGTCAGTGTGCAATCAGACTCCCGACCAGGCGTTTCTGAGTACTTTGGCTTGCCATAAATATATGGAAGGCCAAAAACATGTGAATTTTAACACGTCTTTCAAGCATATTTCACACATGAAATACATGTGACAAAGTAATAATAAGGGTGTTATAAGCTCTCATTCTAA